GGGCGCCGGCGGCGCCGGGCCTCGGCTTTGCGTCCCGGGGCTCCGGCAGGGCCCCGATGGACCCCGTCTCGCCGGGTGACCTTGAGCAGCGCCCCGCCCTTCTGGGCCTGTATTCTAATCACCGAAGGGCCGGCTCGGATGTTTGTAAGGGGCTCACTCACTCACTCACTCACTCGGATGTTTGTAAGGTGCTCACTCGCTCACTCGCTCACTCACTCACTCATTCATTCACTCGCATGTTTGTAAGGGGCTCACTCACTCACTCATTCACTCACTCGCATGTTTGTAAGGGGCTCACTCACGCATTCACTCATTTGTTCACTCGCTCTTTCAATCACTCACTCACTCCATTCATTCATTCATCATTCATTCATTCATTCCCTCACTCACTCATTCCTCATTCATTCATTCATTCATATTGCCTGAGTTACGGGTATGTCCAGGGCAAAGTAGACCCCTGCCCTCCTGAGATTTCATTCTTGTTGAAGGCAAGACAGACGGTGAACAAAACATGTGAGGGGAGATAACGAAGTGGTATAGCGGCCGCGAGGGCCGACCTTGTGGGAGGCATTGGGATCCGCGCCGAGGCGGGAGGAAAGCCAACAGGCGAAGGAAAAGGAATGCAGAGCCCCAGGCGCCGGAAGGGCCTCGTGGAGGCCTCCAGGGAGGTCGGGGTAGGCCCTGAAGGGGTAAGGGCTCTGGAGTCTCCTGTCTCAGCTCCCCATTTGTTCAATGTGGTAACCTCTGGCCACAGGTAGCTAGTGAGCACTTCAAAGGTGGCTGGTCCGATTGAGATGTGCTGTAAGCGTAAAAGGCACTGGATTTCAGTGACTTAGTATGAAAAAGGGATGTAAAATATTCCACTAGTAACTTTTTATATTGATTCCATGTTGAAATTATAGTATTGATATATTGGGTTAAATAAATATCTGAAAGTTAGTTCCTCCTGTTTTCTTTTAATGAAAAGTGGCTACGGGAAACATTTAAATTGCACATGTGGCTCTTACTGTTTTTCTATTGTCCAGCACTGCTGTGGACGACTGTGAGGCTGTCGAATGGTTTTAAGCAGTGCAGTGATAGGATTTTTTGTTTTAGGGAGATCAAATTAAGATACATTAGGATCTCTGGTGCGCCTGCTGGTTTGAGAGACCGCCTCCTCTCAGCCCAGGGGGACAGGTAGTACCAATCTCAGGCCTAAGTAATCGTTTCCTCAGGCTTGGAGCAAGTACGGAGTCAAGTGTAATGGGCTCTTTCAAGCCAATGCAACAAACACTTACTGAGCTCCTGCTTGGGCAGAGCTCTGTGCAGCGCTGGCTGGTTTGATCAGGTGACTGACTGTTCTCAGAGTTCATGGTGGCATGTACTTAGAAGATTTGCATTCCTAGCCAATCTTCTCCAAAAAAAGTTCCTGGGTTACAATTTGATTGAGGCTAATTAAATACTTTTTCACTTAAAAGTACTTCATCCTAATCTCTGTGGACAATATGGTGCCTGTTATGTTCCAATTGACTTTCATCCTTGTGCTCTTATAGCACATGGACTATAAAGGCTATATACATATATGTAGCCTATATATATATATATATATATATATATATACATACATACATATACACAGAGAGAATGGAGACTGTGTAGAATATGTTTAGTCTCAATTTCCTTTAAATTAACTTCTGAAGTAATTTGCCTTAATTTGTTTCCTGGGATATTTTTATTTGTTATGTTTCTATTTAGAATTTGGAAAGAAAGTTGCTGTGGTCATGTGGAAAAGGGGATAAAGGGAAGTACTTACAAACATGTTGAAGCGTAAATAACCTATGGATTGTCGAATACTGGAAAAAGAGTGTTACTTCTCTGTTAAACCTACTCATCTTAACTTGTGTACATCACTATCTCTTAAAATCCTTCAGGTTGGAAGCCGGATTGCGGACCGTGTATATGACATAGCCAGGTAGGTGATGATAAATAGGTAACAGAACACAATCAACTTTGACTGGAGACTTGAGAGATTAAATGATGAGAGCTTGATATCTGGAATGACAGAATCTGGACGAATTTTTTTTTTACTGGGATTAGTGACTTTAATCCCTCTCTAAGTATTTTCTTTTCCACATCTGGAAGAGCAAGTGTTTTACATTGTTGCTTAAAGAAAGAATAAATGGAAGTACAATGCTTAGCTTCTCTCTGAGTCTGAATGATGGATCCACTTGATTTAGCGAAAGCTAATAATGGAAAAATAGCTCCAAAAATGGAGATAAAAAGAATTGACTGTGTGTGAATTTTTTATATTTACTAAACCTAGCTTTAAAAGTTTAACTAAAAATAACAACAGAATCTTTTACCACCTACGCAAAGGAGAGTCTACCTAGATTTGTTTCCCAATCAGGCTATAACAGATGTTGGCCATTTTACCTTAAGTATCCTTATGGCAATAAGTGTTCTATGATAATTATATAGAGGCAGATTTGAGAAAAGAACACTTTCTTCAAGTAATTATTAAAACTTTGATGGATTTATTGCTCTGTTAAGTATAATGAAAGTTTTACAGATTCTAATTTATAACTACATGGCGGGAACCACAGTTAAATAATGGCTTTGTGTAGAATTGCTCTATGATATTAGTAAATCACTTTTTGCACTTTTTGTGTTTAAAAGACATCAATTAAATTAGACCAATATGAGATGAATTTATTACATTTGTCTATAAAAAAGGGAATTTTGTAAAACCATAAACTCTTTCAATCATAGTTTAGATATATTCTTGCTACTTAATAGTGTTGGGATGATTTAATTTTGTAAGATTAAAAAAAACTTCATTATTGCAAATAATTGCCCTCATTTCATGTTTCATTAGTTCCATTATTTTAAAGATCTAAAAATTAGCTAATTCTCTGTACTGTAGTCATTTATTTTCCTGGATTCTGGCCATTTGTGATTTAATAAATGAAACAAATTTTCCAAATCAGTTTGAATTGTTCAATTTTTTAATGTCATACTATTGAATAAAACACGGTCTTTGGAGAGAACTGTGATTATGGTTAAAAGCATGTCTTAAACTAATAACTATTTGCTACTATTAGTTTAACTCTTTGGAATTAAATTATTTAAAATACTAGTCTAAATGTCCTTATACTAATGTTCTGCTGTTAGAAAGAGTAGTTTGTGTTGTCAGCACTGATCTTGTGATGATTTTTAAAAACTAACCCCACAGATTATTAAATGTCTTATTTGCGTTATCTCTGAGGCTCACTTCATACTGTTTTAGTCAGTGATAATAACTCATAACTAACTTTTGCTTAGCATTTGTACTAGGCTAAATACTTTACATGCATTGTTTCTTAAAAATTTCACACCAACCCTGAGGGAGCCAATAACTTTTTCACTTTACTGTTGGGGAGACAGATACAGCAAGATTAAATCACTTGTTTCCGGTCACAGAGCCAGTAAATTGCAGGCCTAGAATTCTAACCCATGACTTTCTGATTGCAAAGCCTGTGTACTTCACAGTGCCACACCACCTGTGTTCATGGTTCTCTCTCGCCAGTGTCTCCACTTGTGTACTGGTGTTCTATATTTTTGACATATGATTTTAACTGAACTTGAAAAGGGACTCTTTTGGTTCCAATAGGAAAAATGTTATTAATGGGTAAAATTTTAAGTTTTCTTGTCATAAATTTTTCGTAAACCTATGGCCTACAATTAGATGTGTGTACTGATTTAGTATGCCATGGTATATTTAGAGAAGACAGCATAACGTAGAGGATAATGGTTCTGGTTCAGGATTCACATGGACTGAATTCAAGTTCTGACTGCTCTTTTTAGTTGAGTGACCTTGGGTTGACTTCTTAAACTCTGAACACTTAGCATATTGCTGAACCTGGTAAGATTACAATAAAAGTGAGCTATTATTTAGTTGGTGTTTTGTTTTGTTTTTAGTTTAACATATGGTATTTCATGGTGTTTCACATGATGATATCTAAGTCAAATGCTGCCTCAACAAATTTGAGAAGTAGAAGTAATTAGTAAGTTCTTAATAGGTATGTGGAATATTATCAAGTTAATTTACATTAACTTCTTTTCATTCTTTATCTGGATATATTATTAAATTAAAATACACTCACTAAATCTGTTCTTTGAATCTATGTCATGGAGCGACCATATGGAAAGTGGATTGATTATGAGGTCCTATGAATGAATGGCTGGACCAGATAGACTTGCTCTGTCCGGTATGTTTTCTGGTACTTACAACTTGCAAGACAGAAAAGAGAGATGATAAAGCTTTTTGAAAGTTGCATTCACTTACAAATTAGTTCTTAGTAAATTATAAGCAAAATTAGATCTTAATAATTATTTTATGGGCTGCATTATTACAGATAAAACATAACTTCTGTGTCTGTTTTTTAGAGATTTCCCCCTTGCTTTGGATGTCGGTTGTGGAAGAGGTTACATAGCACAAAATTTGAATAAGGTATATTTGATGGATAATTTAATTTACTTGAGAAATAAAATTGGCTGACTTTAAGGAAAGAATTTCCCGATCAGTTATATTTGGATTATATCGGAATTGATAAATTTTGTGTTTTTTTAAGTGGTTGAACTAATGGTTGTTTTGCATCCTTTCTTAAGTATTTTTCCTTAAGGTTGTTTTTCTTTACTTTGAATCTTTTATACAGTGTTCCTACTGATAGTTTCTTTAATCTATATAAGATATGTTGCTCTTTATTTCTATTTTGTTCAAATGTTTTTAATAATTCACAATAAAATCAGATTGACATCCATTTGGAAAATGTGATTAAGCTAATCTTTTAGCTAGGAAAAATATTAATTTCAGTGTGATAACTAGCCTTTAATGCTTATACCGTTTTATTTTACATTTTCTAATTCAACCCTAAAGACATTTACTTATTGTTTTAGCCCCTATATATGGGACAGTCTGATGGATACAAATTAAAGTGGGATTTTTATATAAAACCTACTTAGAAAAAACATACACTTGGGTCAGGGTGGAGGTAGGGGTGTGCATGAGGCTCCCAAAACACTTTTGTTCTTAGTAGTAAATGCCACAGAAATGGTACAGTTATTAAACTGCAACAGGAGTTAAGGGAAAGGAAAAATCAGTAGGGGTTCATGTGGTTAAAGACCTCTAGAGGGGTACAGAATCTGATCTGGGATTTGAAAGAAACTGAACTGATGTTTCATAGGCGTGGAAGTAAAGACATGGCAGGAGGAAAGGCACAGAGGTAGAATACTGTAGGGTATGAGACAGTGACGTTTAAGGAAGATTAATTTCAGGGTGGTATGCAGGAGGGACTGAAGAAGGGAGAGGATTTAGAAACAGACCATTTAGAGGGCTGTGTTGAGGGCAGTGTGACAGGAGAGATAAAGACCTGCCACCTATATGGAGACAGCAAGATACAAAGGAAGGGATGTGTGAGAGACCTGACTTTCACCCCTGGCACTGGTGTACTGGAGCTGGCTTGTGAGAGCCTACCGTGCACATCTCTTCCCAACTCTGCAGTTAGCTACATCATGTTGGTCGCATGAAATCGTCTACTGGGGTGATTACAGCATGGAAACTGGCAAACACTACAACTCGGCGCCTTTTTTGGAGTGCTTGTAGTTAAACATTCACCCGCACACTGGTTGCCCTCAGGTGGCCAGGTAGCTGTGGGCAGGGAAGCTCCTTAGGAAGGGGCTGTGGGTGAAGTTGAAAGGATTGGCGTTTCTAGCAGAGGAGGGAATGGGAGGAGAAAGCAGTGACGTTTCTACAGTGCTGTGCTTCAGAGGTCAAGTGAAGCAGGACTAAGGGCAGACAGGCTGTAGCTGGTGGTGAGGTGGTTAGTGAAATAGTTTTCGTAGGGAAGGGAAAGTGGAAATCGAGGAGAAAGACATTCTTAAGGAGTGGAGCTGTGGATGACAAACGCAACAAGTAGAAGGTGAGTAAAAGAGATCTGTCAAGATTGCGAAGCATCTGCTGTAGTAAGGTGAGGGAAGAGACATAGAAGACAGAGACTGAAGGAAGATTGGTGTAGACGGTGATGGAAGGAGCTGCACCCTGGAGAAAAGAGAACATAATGGAAGGAGTTAATCCGGGCAAGATATATGGTGTCTTTCCTCTTTGAAGGAAGGGAGTGTAATTGCACCAGGGGAATGGCACACAAACCACTTATTACACCCCACTCACCCCCGTGCACCTCCTCCCCCACCCCCAGTATCTTTGTTTAAGTCTTTCTTTACTCTTTGTAAGCTCTGAATGAACTAAAAGGCCAGAAAACCAATGCAAGTCTTTTGTGGCACAAGAGGGGATTAGCTCACAGCATATGCTTTGGAAAAGTTAATACACATGCCTTTACCCAGTGGAGTAAATTAAGGATGTTGATTACTACACTTGTGTTCTCTATTTCATTAAGTATAGCTAAATATAATAAGCATAATGTTGGCCTCATAAACTTAAGTCTTTGTAACTTACTATGTAATATTAAAGGTATTTGCACCACACAGAGCAGAAAAGTAATCTGTAACTATCACAACCTCCTTTAGAAATGTCCAATTTGTTTTGTTTTATTGCTACTGGATTTCTGTTTGTTTTTATAACATTGGATCAGCTTTAATATTTTATTGCAGGAAACTGTTGGAAAGTTTTTCCAGGCAGACATAGCAGAAAATGCTCTGGTAGGTAGCTTTTTAACACGATTGGTTTTTCATCTCCTGGTTTGATTTTTAGTTCTTTATTTTTTATTTCTTTTAAGATGAAAACAACTTTTTTTCTGATTATAAATAATAACGCATGAAGAAGAATTTGATAATACAAGAACTATAAAGGAAAAAAGAAAAATCACCCCTTGTCCCACCACTCAGAGGCATCCACTGGTGACATTTTGGTCCCCACCTTCGTAGATATTTAACTATCCCCAACATACAGTTTTATACAAACGGTATTATGCTAACATAACATGTGTTTCACAGGCTATCATCTTTGATATCAGTGAATCACACACACCGTCTTTTTAAATAGCTGTATATTCCAATATATGAATATTCCATGGTTTATTTAGCTAAATTTGTACTGAAGGGACGGTTAGTTCTATTTCTAGTTTCTCAATAACCAACACTGTAATGAACCTCATCATATAAAGTGACCTTGTGTGTTTTATTTATTTTCTCCCTGGGAATAAATTCCTAATAATGGAATTTATGGATTGCAGACGGACCTTAGAAAGATTGAATAATCATATTAAATGAAACTACTTTTTTCTCTTTGGCAACATTGGACCAGTTGTTTTGTCTTTGTCAGTCTGATAGGCAGAAAGTAGAATCTGGTCATTATTTTTACTTGTATTTCTTTGATGACTAGTACAGTCAAATCACTGTTGATGATTTTTGGCTACTGATATTTGGCTATTGATATTTTTTAATTTTTGAATTTATAATGGTGTGATGTTTCTGTATCTTGTCCTTTATCTACTTTACCCTTGGCATGTCTTTCTCCTAAGTGGTTTTTATTCTAGCTTAATTTTTAGGGATATTAATCTTTCATTATATAAGTTGTAAATATTTTCCCAAGTGTGTTTACATTATTTATTGCTTTTTTAGAAGTTTTTGATTAGTTTATCATCAAATATATCAATCTTTTTCTTTATAGTTTGTGCCTTTTGAGTCATGTTTACTTACGTATTTTCATCAGAGTATAAAAATGTTCACCAGTATTTTCATCTAGTACTTTTATGGCGTCAGTTATTCCACTTAAACTTTTAGGTTTCTGAGATTTAATATGAAATAGGTGTCCTGTTTATGTTTTGCCAACCAGCTAGCCAATTTTTTGGCTGGTCTTAAGTTTAATTTAAGAATAATGTTTTGAGTGCCTTCTTTGTGGCTCCTTTTTTTTTTTTTTTTTTTTCTGGAAGANTTTAAGAATAATGTTTTGAGTGCCTTCTTTGTGGCTCCTTTTTTTTTTTTTTTTTTTTTCTGGAAGAGATAGAAACTGCCAAGAAATATAACATTACATTTAACAAACAGTGATTGTGTTAATAATTGAGATTTTTATAAATGTGTTTTTGAACTTCTATTTTTTAACCATTAGAAAAATACCTTAGAAACGGAAATTCCTACTGTCACTGTTTTAGCTGATGAAGAATTCCTTCCTTTCAGAGAAAATACATTTGACCTGGTGGTTAGCAGTTTAAGGTTGGTAATACATTTGTACTTTTAAAAAATAGATGTTATAAATAAAATAGATAATGAAGTAAATTCTTAATGTCCTTGTTTTAAGTCACAAAACAGTTTTTCTTGGTTTAGAAACTGTAAGATTTCTCTGGTAAAGGATTGTGGATATCTGTTCCCTAGTGGAGATAATATGATCTAGTGCCTTAACTCCCCCACCCCACCCCCAGCTTTCCTCAATTTGCTAAAGCTTATCTGTGATAGAAGGGTTTTCCTCCCCAATGTAACTTAGCATTCTGGAATTGATATTGATGGGGGCAGGAGTTTGGAAGAGTATGCTGATTACAATATTCAAGTGTTAGAACATCTTTATAAACTCATTCTGGTAAATAAGGAAAAGCTAGCGTTTCCTTCTAATTATTTTTCTACACAGAAATATAGTCCTCGGTTACTTTTCTCCCTTTGGTCTTTCTTCCATGCCTTTCCACACTTATTACACAAACATATATTGTAAATATTTATTGAATAGATTTTAATATGCAAGGCAGTGCGCTAGATGCTTTGGGGAATACAAAAATGAATTCAGATGGGGATCCTGTCCTCAAAGAACTTAGTGTCTAACAGAGAAAATAAAATATTCTATGTGGTACCTTATTTCTCCTGCCTCAGTATTATAGTCATACTTTCTTTCAAAGATTCCACATGCTCACTACAACCCTTTTGAGAGCTGTTTTTAAAACAGGTGAGCAAGCATCACAGTTGGCCCATGACTTTGTCAGTGTTAGCACTGAAAGACCTGTGTCCCAGAAACCTCCTCAGTCCCTGGCAAACTGGGAGAGTTGGTCACCTTTGCTGTTTTCTTCAGTGAGTTTGTAGCTTCCCTGCTTGTTGAGGTGTGCTGAGCAAATTTAGGAAAGTATTCAGATTCTGTCGCGGAACAAACTTTGAAAAGTGTTCAGAATCTATCACGAAATGAAAGGCACTAGAGCCCTGGTCTAAGGGAAAGAACCCTGGGTAGCGAGTCAGAACCCAGGTTTTAACTTTAGCTTGCTTGCTGTTTGCAAAAGTAACTAATCCTGTTGCTTTCAGTTCCCTGCAAGTGTCACAGAGCTTATAATATGACCTCTTTAATTTTTAAAGTATCTAATTATTAGAAAATAGTATGAAAGAAAAATGTAGAGCCTAACACAGTATGGTGTGAAATGGGTATTCAGTGCTTCACAAGAGGGTGCCAGCTCCACTAAGAAAGAGTGGCTGCACTCTGTAGACTCTGACTCTTGCCGTCACCTGTCGCTACACACTGGGAGAGGGAGGGCCAAAGGCAATGCAAGAGGTTTCTTCATCGAAGTTTGCAATATATAGAGCTCTGGATTTGTCTGGATTTTTCTTTTATGATCTCAAAAAACATGGAGTGTTATTTATCAGAAAACTCAGCTAAGTTTTTGATGATTAATACTACTTACCTTGGGGAAATTATAGGTCTTCTGATGAATTTTTTTTTTTTAATTTTTTTAGGAAAGTAGGACTTAGACTACTATATGTCTGTAGCATGATTGTTTGATTTAATTGATGAACTTCTTTGAACATGTTATCAGGTGCTTATTTTTACTACTTCAAATATGTTCTCAGAATAGCACTGTTTAGAAGAGATGCTGGGTAGGAACGACTTTTAGTTTATTTTCCCCAATTTTATTGAATGATTCTTGATATATAACATATGTAAGTTTAAGGTATACAATGTGGTGATCTTGCAAAATGATTATCATAGTAAGTTTAGTTAATATCTCCATCCCTTCACATTGTTAAGAATTTTGTGTGTGTGGTGATAGCATACAAGATCTACTCTCTTAAAAACCTTCAAGTATATCATACAGTCTTGTTAATTATAGTCACCACGCTGTGCATTAGTTCCCCAAGTCTTGTTCGTCTTATACCTGAGACTTTGTACCCTTTGACCAACACCTCCTCATTTCCCTCAACCTCCTGCCCCTGATAAGCCACATTCTATTGTGTCTGTGTACTTGGCTTTTTTTAGATTCTGGATGTAAGTGAGAACATGCAGTCTTTCTTTCTTTGTCTGACTTATTTCGCTTGGTATAATGCCCTCAAGGCCCATCCATACTGTCCCAAAAGGCAGGGTTTCTCTCCTTCATATTGCTGAGTAATATTATAGTGTGTATGTGTGTGTGTGTGTATCACATCCTTATCTATTCCTCCATTGACGGACACTTAGGTTGTTTCCACATCTTGACTATTGTGATTAATGCTGCACTGAACATGGGGGTGCAGGCATCTTTTTGAAATAAAAAGTGTTTTCATTTCCTTCGGATATATACCCAGAAGTGGGATTGCAGGATCATATGGTAGTTCAATTTTTAATTTTTTTGAGGAATCTCCATACTGTTTCTTTGGTGGCTGTACCAGTTTACATTCCCACCTGCAGTGTACAAGGGTTCCCTTTACTCCACAATTTTGCCAGCATTTGCTGTCCCTTGTTTTTTTGATAGTAGCCGTACTCCTAGGTATAAGGTGATGGCAACTCAGATGGTTTGCGTTTCCCTAGTGATCAGTGATGTCGAGCATCTTTTCATGTGCCTATTGGCCACTTGTATGTCTTATTTGGAAAAATTTACTTTTACTTTATTTAGCGAAGAATAATTGCACAGTTATGCATAGCAGCAAAGTGAACACCTATCACATTTTCTAGTGTGACCGAAGGAAAGTTTTCCCCTGGGAATATGTTCTTAAATTATATAAAATCAATCAGTGAATTTTGATATGCAGTTTCAACTTAAAATTAACACCCTTTTTTGTGGTTTATCATTGTACTAGTGATACTTATACTAATTAATTATATGAATTAAGCTGGAACAAATATGTTTTCATATTTTAGTTTGCATTGGGTGAATGACCTTCCTGGAGCCCTTGAACAGGTAAGACATTTAATTTTGATTCTAATAGCCCGTGTTATTTTATTTATTATTAGAAACTTATATTTCTGTTTTCACATGGAAACTTATAGATGTTTTCCATTTTATACTTATGATAATTGGAAATTGAAGCAAATCTAGTAAGTATTTATGATGTTCTGTGGGCTGGCTGTGCTTGGTGCCCTTTGACATATTAAGTACACCGGGTGATTTCCCCCTCCCTGGCAATTCAAAAAATCTAGTTATGGAGATGTTTATTTATGAAAACTTTAGTAACTTGTACAAGATAATATTGATATTAGAAGACTTTTTCTGAGTGGGTTTTTCCCCTCCTTAATTGCCTATCACTTTTTTGTGAGTAGGAATTTGTCTATATTTATATTTTCCTCGTGCCTCATACTTCACGAGTTCTGGGTAGATGTTGGTTGGTTGATATTTATCAGTGAACAGATGAGTGCTAAGTAAAAAGGGGCGACCACTCTGGCTTGGATCTGCCAAGAAAGCTTCAAGAGGAAGGAATTACTTGAATAGGGCCTTAGAGGGAAGGTGAGGTTTGGAGTGGGAAAGCATTCCAGAAAGGCAGAATCAGGATAGGTACAAGGTCTAAGAGCCCCTGGACCAGGAAAGGACAAAGTCCCAAGCCCACAGCCTGTTGGGAGACTCAGCCCAGCGCTTGGAGATGAGATATATAGGGAGCGGATTTAGGAGGACTTGGGTGACAGATTAAGGAATTTGGAGTTTATTCTTTATGCAGTTCAGAGTCACTGGAGAATTTTGAAGAGGACAGTGACATGATTAACAAGCTGGATGGCAGGATAATAACTGCCATATCTTAAGCACATACTCCAATCCCTGTGCTCTTTTATATGTGTTAAATAACTGCAAGATGTCTTCCTTTTGTTGATCAGAAAACTGATGCCGGATGTTTAGTGGCTGGTTAGATCTCAAGATCAAAGACAGGGAGGAGTCAGAGCTCACCTTAAAGTTTTGAGTCTGGGTGCCTGGGAGAATTATTAGTAAAATTACTAATTAGACAGTCTTGGAGCTTGCTGGTCAGGAGTGGCCTCAGCCGGGATGCCTGGTTTACCCTGCTCCTCATGTCCCTCATCCTTCACCGGGCTGGCTCTTTCACAACAGGGTGGCCACACGGGGCTCCGGGAGAAGCGTGCAAGGCCATTTGAGACTCTGGCTTGCCACTGACACACTGTCACTTGCCCTCTATTCCTTTCCAAAACAAGTCACAAGTCCAGCCCAGATTCAAGAAGCGGGGAAGTAGACTCCGTCTCTTGATGGGAGTCGTTACAGAGTGGCGTTTCACAGGGCACAGGCACAGAGGGAACTGTGACTTTTGCAGTCTACCACACTATACTTTTTTTCCTTTCATTATTTTTCTGAATATAAGAATAAGTTGTGTCTATTATTAAAAAATTTGAAAACATGTAACATTTTATAGATGCTAATACTATCAATGCATGTATTGTCTATCTTTACAACAATATTATACTGCAATGCTTTTCTGACAATTGTTGCCTTAGGTGTTATTTATTAATTTATCTGATTATTAATTTGACAAAATAAGAATGTAATAATAAAATATTGATTTAGACACTATATGTTCTTTTACCAGTTTTATATGTAAAATTTTGAAAAGTTTTGTTGTCTTGTATTTATTACAGATTCATTATGTTTTAAAACCAGATGGAGTTTTTATTGGCGCAATGTTTGGAGGCGACACACTCTACGAGCTTCGGTGTTCGTTACAGTTAGCAGAAACGGAAAGGGAAGGAGGATTTTCTCCACACATTTCTCCTTTCACTGCTGTCAGTGACCTAGGACATCTGCTCGGGAGAGCTGGCTTTAATACACTGACTGTGGTAACTATCAAGAGAATCGAGTAGCCCATTCATTACACAGTTCAGAAACAACTTCTCATTTTAAAAACAGACAACTGTAGGTATTGATGGTATTCTGGGAATGTTTTGGAACTTTCTCTCTCTTTTGTTTTTACTAGTCTTCATCCAAGGATATTTTGTTTGTTTGTTTGTTTGTTTGTTTTTCAATAGAGAGAGAGAAAGAAACATCAGTTTCCTTCAGATCATGCCACAACTAGGGATTGAACCTGCAGCCTAGGAGTGTGCCCTGAATGGAAATTGAACCCACAATACACTCCTTTATCAAGCTTCATAAAGAATGGGCATCATTGCCTGGCTGGTGTTGCTCAGTGGGTGAGCATTCACCCATGAACCTGGAGGTCATGGTTCAATTCCCAGTCAGGGCACATGCCTAGGTTTCGGGCTCAGTCCCCCAATAGGGGGCATGCAGGAGGCAGCAGATCAATGACTCGCTCATCATTGATTTTTCTCTCTCTCCTTCCCTATCCTTTCCTCTCTCTGAAATCAGTTAAAAAAAAAAAAAAAAGGGCATTATTGCTCAAAGTTTATTTGAGAAATAAACTGTGGCAGCAGTGTGCCCGTGCAATATTGCTACATTCCCAGAAATAGAATGAAAACATCTTGGGAGATGAGCCTGTTTGGCTTAATTCTGGGTGCCACATTTTAAGAGAGGTTGATATTGAGTATGTACAGAGAAATGTTAGAGGACATGTGAGGACCTATTAATTTTGTCTAAAAGACTAACCCCTCCCCCTAAAAAAATTATGGTGTTGGGGAGGAAAAATTTCTCCTCTATTCTAGGTTCTTCTGGTTGGTCTAAGAATTAAATTGACACGAGATTAACAGGAGAAAATAAAATTTAATTTCCTACATACAGGAGCACCACAAGAGTATGAGTCCCACAGATAGGCAATTGGGGCTTATATGCCATTCTGAACTAAAGAGAAGGAGTAGGATTCTGGGACTTCAACGGGGAGGAGGGCAGTTTACCTGGAGATGGCAAAACAAATGCTTGGTAAACAAATGTTTGCTATGCCATGTGGAGATAGTGGGACACAGAAAGGTCTTTGGGCCCGGCCGGGCATGGCTCAGCTGTTGAGCTTCAACCTAGGATCCGGGAGATCAGGGTTTGATTCCTGGTCAGGGCACATGCCCGGGTTGTGGGCTCAATCAATGACTCTCTCATCATTGATGTTTCTCTCTCCCTCTCCCTCTCCTTTCCTCTCTCTGAAATCAATAGATATATTTAAAAAGAAAAAAAAGAAAGGTCTTTGGTCTTTAAGTCCTGCTGAATTCTCCTTATCACACGTAGCCCAAATTCTTTGTAGATATCTCTGATGATAGCGTTCTTCCTGAACCAGGCCCTTTATCAAAATTCTTTTAGGCAGTTAAGGTAAAAGGCTCTTGTGGAGCCATTGGTTTTTAAAAAATAATCATCCTAAAGTAATCTTCGTGCCAAGGAAACATATTTTGGGGTGAAATCCTGCTCCCCTACAGTGTCCTGGCAGAGTTTTTAGATTTGAAGAAGAGGGTAATAGTTGGCAGAGTACAGAATAGACTTATTCTGTATTTCCCCAGAGGAAGAACTAGATCCAGTTAATGGAGTTTTAGGAAGAGTTCTCTTAAAATGGCAAATATTTATTCTGCAATTTTAAATAATCATAAATCAAGCATAAGCCAGGTGACATCTGTGAAGAATATTGTAAAGAAGAGTCCTGCTTATTATGACAGATTGGTCTGGGTAATCTCTGTGGCCTTTTGAATCTGAATTTTTGTGTGATGAATGTCAAATGAATATTTCTTTTTCTTTTTAAATAGGACACTGATGAAATTCAAGTTAACTATCCGGGAATGTTTGAATTGATGGAAGATTTACAAGGTAAGGCACTTAAAGCATTTTCAGACTCCATTTGAGGGTCATATTTTGAGAGCCCATACTATGGCATGCACTGGGGCTAAGCACTAGGGATACATTGGTAAGAAAGCAGGCTATCTTTATGGAACTTATAATATGAAATGGATGAGGCAGACATCAGGCACCTGCCACAAAGATAAATATTAAATTGAAGTTGTGGTAAGTGCTGTGAAGTAGAGGTACAAAGTGATGTGATTGCCTATAAAAGGATGGCAGGACTTTCTTGAATGGTGCATTTGAGAACCGTAGAACACATCAGTGACTTTCTTTAGCAACAGTTGGCAGCTCAGGTACAGGCACAAGAAAGCAGGTAGTTGGGGTTAGTGTAGGATTGGGGTTTGTCAAGGGGATGTGTCCTGGTCTGAGAAAGTCAACAAAGTCTTGTCTGAAGAAGTGGTGATTATGCTTTAAAAATTGAAGATGAATTAATGAGGTGAAGAAGGGAGAGAAGTGAGTCCCAGGCCAGGAGAAGAGCATGTGCAAAGGCCCTGTTGCAAGAAAAAGCATGGCAAGAATGGAAAGAAGGGCATTTTGGCTAGAATACAGGTAATAATAAGAAGAGTTAAGTGATTAAATTGGTGGGTAAATGAGTGACAGAGACCAGGCAGTAAGGTCTTAGAGACCTTGTTAAGATGGTTTGTCTTTGTTAAAACACCTTGTGAGGAAGGGGGTTCAGGTATCAGATTTATATTTTGAAAATAATGGATTGGCAGATAAAGTAGTAGGGAGAGCTGCTGTGGTAAAACTCTGTGAGAAATGAATGGTAGTTTGGACTAAGGTGGTGGCAGTGGAGATAGAAGTGAGTGGATTCTAGAGATTTTTGGGAGGTAAATTTGACAGTTCTTACTGGTGAATTACCTGTGGTCTGATGAAGGACAGTGACATTTCAGACATAACTGCTGAGTTTTTTAGCTCACATTAACAGATAGATGGTACCCTTCTTCTGAAAACAACAGAAGATCAAGTTTGGGCAGGGACAGCTCTTTCGTTCACATTTGTATACGTTGGCTTTGAAGTGGTTTTGAAATACCTAAGAGGAGATGTCAAGTAGGTGGTTGGGTATGTGGGTTAAAAAATTGTGACTCATTTGTGACTAGGTGGTATTTGAAGCAATTGCCAAGGGTGAGAGCATAAGTGAGAAGAGAAAGTGGTCTGATACTGAGCCTTTAGGAATCCAGCATATAGTGACCATGTAAAAGGATGAGCCTACAAAGAGACTGAGAAAGAACATCTAGCAAGGTGCTAAGGAGAAAAACAGGAAAGTGTAGTATTGTCTCAACCAAAGGAAAGTTCAAAACAAAGAGAACCTAAATAGTTTAGAACAAAAGGAGCCCTCAGAAGCATCAGATGCTTTTGAGAAGTGAAGTACAGACTGAAAACAAAGTCCATTAGATTTAGGAACAAAAAGGTTATGGTGACCATGGTGAGACCTCTTTTGTTGGAGTGACAGGAGTAGAAGTAATGTTAGGCTGAGAACTGAGTGGAAGGTGGGGACAGCAAATATCTACTGACAGCAAATATCTCTCAAGAAGTTTGTGAAAAAGAAGTAGGAGATGGAAAGGTTACAGGCATCAGAGGGAAGAAAAGAATAGGACATGGGGTGAGATTTTTTCATTTTGTTTTGTCTTAAGGTTTGAATATGTGTAACTGCTGATTGGAAAAATGTAAGTGCTTCCATAGAAGTGACTCTAGAAGAGAGAGAAGGGATAATTGGTGTTTCAGGTACCTGAGAAGGTGGAGGGGATGCAATGCAAAGGCTGATGGACGACTGACCTTGGATGGGGGTGAGGGGCCGACATAAAAGGGAGGAGGGATAGTTCCAAAGGACATAGGCATTTATGGTTTTTTGTTTGTTTTTTCCAGAGGGAAAGGGGGTGAGGGGGTTGTAAAGGGTAAAGGGGGTCAAATATATGGTGATGGAAGAACACCTGACTCTGGGTGAGCATGTAATGCAATATACAGATATGATGCATCACAAAATTGTATACCCAAAAACCATATAACTCTATCAACCAATGTCATCCCAATAAGTTTAATTAAAAAATATATAGCCCGGCTGGGTGTGGCTCAGCGGTTGAGCGTCGACCTAGGATCCAGGCAATCAGGGTTTGATTCCCGGTCAGGGCACATGCCCGGGTTGCAGGCTCGATCCTCAGTCGGGGGTGTGCAGGAAGCAGCTGATCAATGACTCTCATCATTGATGTTTCTATCTCTCTCTCTCTCCCTCTCCTTTCCTCTCTCTGAAATCAGTAAAGATACATTTAAAATATATATATATATATATATGTGTGTGTGTGTGTGTATATATATATATATATATAGAGAGAGAGAGAGAGAGAGAGAGAGAGAGAGAGACAGTAAAAAAAAAATCAGCTGAGAGTCGTATGGGAGCTCCCTTGTAGGTCACTGTCTTTCTCTTGATGCTTTTAAGATTCTTTGTCTTTAACCTTTGCCGTTTTAATTAGGATGTGTCTTGGCGTGGGCTTCTTTGGGTTCATCTTTTTTGGGACTCTCTGAACAGGTGTGTCTTTTTCCTTCACCAAATTAGGGACATTTTCAGTCATTATTTCTTCAAATAGGTTCTGGATCCCTTGCTCTCTTTCTTCTTCTGGTACCTCTATCATATGGAAGTTGTTACTCTTGATGTTGTCCCAGAGGTCCCTTAGACTTCCCTCAATTTTTAAAAATTATTTCATTATGATTTTTTAACTTTTTTTTGCTGCTCAGGTTGGGTATGTTCTGCTTTGTCCTCTAATTAGCTGATTCGATCCTCTGCTTCATTTAACCTCCTGTTGATTCCTTCTAGTGTATTCTTCATTTCAGATATTGTATTCTTCATTTCTGACTGGCTCTTTTTATAATTTCTAAGTCCTTTTTTATGCTTATCATCTCTTTAAGTTTTCACTGAGATCATCCATTCTTCCCCTAAGTTTCTTGAGCATCCTTATGCTTTACAGACCAAGGAAGCGGCCTGTGTGAAGGTACAGAGATGTAAGAGGATACACAGTTCCCTAATTAAGGAACTGTACAATATTGCTTGAACATGTAGAATGGGGAAATGATGGAAAGTGATGCAGGAGTCACCAGAGGCTTATAGATGTTCTCAGGTGGCCTGGTAGTGTCTTGGAAGACTTGCACAGAAGAGAGACAATCAGATTAGTGTGTTAAAGGGCTCACCCTCCAGTGTTGTTTATGAGCATATGTATGAGGAAGGTAAGACTAGAGCTAGCACAGTTAGCATCTCTTGTTCTGCATGAGGAAACTGAGGTGCAGAAAGAAGTAACTTGCTCGTGGTGATGTATTTAGTAAGTGGAAGAGCCAGGATTTAAACCCAGTGTAGCAGCCTGACTCAGATCCTGAAATCTTGACCACTCTCCTGATGAAAGGTCAGAGGCAGATGAGATGGGAAGAAGTGGTCAGGGGATGAATGGAGGAAGGGAGAAGCTTCGGAGACTTCCAGGTGTGTGGCTTTGCAGACTGGAAGATGGTGCTACCTTCAAATTGGTTTTGGGTATTTTACACTGCATTGTACTTTTTTCTTGATGGTTGCGGTGTTTCTTATTTAAGCTGCCATTATTATTAATTCACAGAAAAAAGTCGAGAATGTTGACCTAATTTTACAAACAAGTTGTGTATCAGCGATGAATGCACGAAAAGTTTTGGAGGCTTTCACAGTAGTTTTAAGGTAAGTTCAGCTTTTTTTCTTTTTAAGACAATACTCAGTATTGTTCCTAGTAAAACCAGAATAAATTCGATTTTTTATAAACAGTTGAACTTAACCTTAAAAACACTGTGAGAGTCTTAAACAGTTACCTCCTTTCCTACTTTTCTGTTAGGCCAAAGCCCAGAGCTGGTCGGAAGTTCCCAAATCTGTTTCCCAGGTGGTCTTCAGTAAACAGCCATCAGTATGTGTTATGAAATGTTATAACACTTTGTGATCTACTCCCTTTTGTAGATCACAAAACTGAGTTTACTAGAGGTTAAATGACTTTGCTCCAGGTTACGGAAGGCTCACAGCTGGGATTATGATCCCAAAGTCTCGACTCGTGGCAACCCATCACAGTGCTCCTGCGAGGAGGAGGGCAGTTCAGGATGGCTGTGCACTTCCCTTGGGAGGGGAGGGTGGGCTGCCCAGCAGCAGAGTTACTGCCTGTGCTGCATGGTAGTGCTCGTCAATTTCCATATCAGAAAGAGCATTGTGCCTAGTCATCTTAATTAGTATATCTTAATCACAGTTCTTCAGAAGGCATTGCATAGAAATAAATTATTTACTTTTAAAAAATTAAGCCTGTTTTTCACTGGTGCTGCCTATTATCTAATGGGTAAGTCGGTCATGGCAATGGGGAGTTAGTGGAGATGAAAGCACCATAGCCATCGTCAGCAACAGCCTCCCCCAGTGAGTCCCAGTTTTCCTCTGGTCTCTTGATATAGTTGATTCTCACTATGTAGGAGAATGTTTTTAAATTAGATTATCTAATGGGCCCACAATGTTACCATCAGAAGCCTTAGAGACCCTCTAGTCTGACTACTTAAAGACCCAGAGCAGTTGCTCTGGGATCATGTAGCTGCTTCATGACGGCACGACTAAGACCCTCCTTTCCTTCCTGGTGGCGAATCCTCCAGTGTGTGTGTCTGTTCTTCATGAATTGTGCCTGTTACACTCCCAGCCTGTGGGGCACTGCTCTTGGTGTTACGGATTCTTTATCTTAGGGAATACTAGGAGCCTCTTCGGACTGGGGAGAAGAAATAGTTTACTAATTACAGCTAATTTGTTGATTGTTTTCAGTAAGGCCACTGAAGACTTGGGAGATTATTATTTTTAAACTAATACAGAGCATTGATATTGAGAAATTTATTGGTTTCTTTTGTGAAAGTAGAAAAAGAAAACCAAGAAACTGATTTCCGGTCATGTAATATAGAGAATATACATAGAAAGGAGTTTTACTTTTGAAAGACTTTTAATTTTGAGAACTACTTTAAAATGTAGCCTTTCAGAGTAATTTTGTTTAGGTATATGCATAGAGAAAAATTAAATATAGCTTTTAGCTATCAAAGTAAAAGAAAGAAATCTAAAAATAAATTTTAAAACATTAAGGAAAGTACCCCTGAAAAGAATGCACCTAATTTTTTTCCTAGTGTGGGATTAGTTAAGTATTGTAAAACCTAAAAACATGTTGGCTTTGGTGTTCTATGATGAGTCTCAGAGCCCTTTTCCAAGTTTCATGACCATATTACATTTGTGGCTTAGGAATAAGGCATTGGAAGTGTCCTCCTTTGAAGAGCAGCTAAAAGGGGCATAAGATGTGGCATCCTTCGAAAGGCACTTATCAACTCCCGATGACTCACCTGGAGGGCACTCACTTTGCTTTTGCCCTACTGGCTCACTTTATTTTTTTTACTACAATTTTTTTTTAAATCTTCACCTGAGAATGTTTATTGATTTTAGAGAGAAGAGAAAAATATCAATTGGTTTCCTCCTATAAGCGCCCCAACCAGGGATTGAACCTGAAACCTAGGTATATGCCCTGACGGGAATCGAACCTACAGCCTTTTGGGATATGGGACAATGCTCCAACCCACTGAGCCACCCAGCAGGGCCCAGCTAGCTCACTTTAGACCGTGGCTGGCAAGTAAAGTGTGTTCTGGGGCTGGCCTCCTGAAATTTGACTCTGCACTTGTCTTCATACTCAGAAGCTTCAGGTAGTTTTGCCGTAGAGTCACTAAGAAGCCTCGCTACATTCTGAGAGCAAAATGAGATTTAGGTTATTTTACAGGACTATTCGAGAATGGTATACTGTTGGACGAGATAAGGTTGAATCTGCGGCAGTGACTGGGCTGCCCAGGGCATTTGCTGTATTATCTCAAACTGCCTGTAGTGTGTTTTTAGGTATGGGTGAGAGCAACTGTGCTTGGAATAGAAAAGCTCTCCTGCACCGGGACACGATGCTGGCAGCTGCTGCCGTGTATGGAGGTAAGGGCGCCGACCACTCCGCTGCCTGTCACTGAGGACCTGCGCCCTGTCGTTTATCCCTTAAAGTTGCCGGTGCTGTTTCCCTTCCTGTCAAGGCACCATCAGATTTCTTGTCCTTCCTTCAAAACCCAGATCCTGTATCCCCATATCCCTTTCCAAACAGTCCTTACTCTCCGTACCGTCAGCTTCTCAGGTGTCGAGGATTTTTCATGTGAAGCATTTTCAGAATCCCTGAATGTCCTCATATCCATTTCTCTTTGGAGGACATGACTTTTGTTGAGCAGATTATTTTTCCTACCGGCGTTTTTTCAGACTTTAACTAGTGTTTGTCTTTATAGAAATGTACAGAAATGAGGATGGTTCGATACCTGCCACATACCAGATCTATTACATGATAGGATGGAAATACCATGATTCACAGGTAACAGTGGGACATATCCCTTTTCTTAGTGGGTTTATGTTTCTTTTTGTTTTTTAATGTTTATTTACATTGGGTGGGGGGTGTTTTTTAATATAAGATAGTATTAAGGGGGTTAATTAGGCCTACGTATTTATCTATTTCTAATGTCTTTTATCTATCATTTTCAGGCAAGACCAGCTGAAAGAGGTTCTGCAACTGTCTCATTTGGAGAGCTGGGAAAAATAAACAATCTTATGTCACAGGGGAAAAAATCACAATAAATATTTTATTCAGTGTTAATGTGGTCCAGACTTTTCATTAGAGATGGGTAACTTTCACATCTAAAATTATTACATTTTAAAGCAAGAAGCAATATATCAGCTCTTCACTAACAGACTTCTCAAATAATTAGAATAACCTAATACTATATTTAGTAACCATTTGTTTCACATGGTTTCTGTTTTTATATAGATACTATTATCTATATAAAGTTATATAATCTATAGCTATCACTATATAAAATTATATAGATAATATATAATTTCTTATATACCTATATAAAAAAAACCTACACATTATCTAGTGATTTGAGTGCCTTATTTGCAGACTTAGCCTGAAAGCAAGAAGATAGTTCTCTGAAAAATCCACAAATATGTTCACAAAAATCGCTGACTTGGAAAAACATTACACAGGCTGACATTTGTACCTCTCTCTCCTTCTGATCTTCTATTGTAAGAGGACCACAGCAATGGAAATGAGGGGAGGGACAAGTTGGTAGATTCTCTAGAGTTCTGGCTCATTTAGGATAAAAACAGACTCTATAATGACTATTGTAAGATACTTAAGCCAAAATTATTTGTCACACCGTTGTCTTTGTCTTGAAGAGAACAGAAATTTGTGTACTCTCTAGAGCTGTTATGTCGTAGTTTTTTACTTCAGAAGAGTGTGTACCTTTATTAGATCCTTCCTCACTTTTTTTAAAGCATCAGAATTCTAATCTTATCTCTTTTTGGCCTCCAGGATCTGGACGGGACCCACAGGGCCCCACTTAGGATAATAAAGAAGGCAAGATCACACACACAAGTGTCTGCACAGAGATGAAAAGTGCTATTTGTTGTTTGCCTTTCCTTTGTCATCTCAGGCCTTTGGCACTGTTTTCTAATCCAAGTTCACTAGTAGTGGTCAGAGTTACTTGGAAGCATTTAAGTGCAGACAGCTTAGTGCAGGGGAAGAAGGAGACCCTAAGAAGTAAGTGGGGAGGAAGCTGGGAAGCACACAAGAGTGACTGCCGAGTTTGTTTCCACCGGCCAGTGCTGAGCAACTTGCTGTCCTTTTCATTCAGCCGGGCATGGCCCCAGCCTCTTCTTCAGCCTTAGTAGGTTATTTTACAGTGTTCGCTTCTCTCCCCTCTGCCTTCCCTCCCTCCACCGTACAAGCACCAAGCTCTTCCTGGGCAAGGGTTGTGTCTTATCGTGCGTATAGCATAATACTCATAGACATTCCATTCCATTTGAATTGAATGAAGTTCTGTGAAGACATACACTTTGGAAGACTAAGTTACAGTTAAAAAGCCAAAGTTTTGTAAGAGAAAAAGAAATTACTATTCTTGCTCTCTTCGGTTAGGAAATTCATCAATATTAGAAGTTGGGATACTCTCGGCAGCGTTTTTGTTTTTGTTTTTAACACTTTAGGGGTGCAGGTGGTAGGCAGAAACTAGGAGGGAGACTTGTACTTTTAATTTTTTTGTCTTTCTATAAATAGTGATGTTTTTACTAAGGTTATTAACTTTTGTTTATTCCATGCTAACGGTGAATATGTGGATGGTGGGGTGGTGCTGGGGAGGAGTCTACACTGGGCTATCTCAAAAATGAGCTCCATTGGTTTAAAAAATTACAGGAAAGCCCTAGCCAGATAGGTCAGTTGGTTAGAGTGTTGTTCCAGTATGCAAAGGTTGTGGGTTCAATCTCCAGTCGGGGCGCATACAAAATCAAACAATGAATGCAAAAATAATTGGAACAACAAATCGCTGTTTCTCTCTCTAAAATCAGTAAGTAAAATTAAATAAATAAAGGAAAGAAAAATTAACATAATTAACTGAGGACGCATTGTTTAACATAGGTGATAGTGGTAAAATTACCTTAATGTTAGTAATACTAATAAAATTATTTTTTAAGTTAATGTTTGCTTGAAATAGTAAGCTTTAATTGTTTGGAACCTTCAGGGGATTCCTTTTTCTGAACTCACTCTTTTTTAAGCAACAATACTGTAAAAAAATGTCTTATCAAGCCCGGCCAGCGTGGCTCCTCAGCTGAGCATCGACCTATGATGCAAAACATCGCAGTTCGATTCCTGGTCAGGGCACATGCCTGGGTTTCAGGCTCAGTCCCCAACAGGGGGTGTGCAGGAGGTGCCTGATCAATGACTCATCATTGATGTTTCTCTCCCCCCCTTCCTCTCTCTCAATAAAGACATATATATATATATATACCTTTAAAAATATGATACATTCTTAAACAGTGTGTGGAACATGAAACCATTTCTTTATAACTCCACAGTTACTGTCATAAGCTCCAGTTATACTGCATTGCTTGTTTCTGCACTGACTGGCCCCAAAGGGATATGGTTTGTTTATATCTCTTCCAACACTTACTTGCTGTCAGTTGTTAATCCCAGTACAAAAGTGAATATTCTTGGGTCACCTCTTGTCCTTTCTGACCTGCAGTAAGATAGGAATTCAGACTGGAAGGTTTCTACAAGTAGTATATAATAAGGTAGGGAAACAGGACCGTGGTTCAGCGAAGACTGTGCTTTGGAGTAAAATGCATGGGCTTTATTGATTGGTTCCCTTAGCAAATGAGGATTGAGGTCCAAGTGCAGGCTCTTTCACTTGTTGATCTAACAAGGCTTCACTGTGTGGACACTGGCATCTGTTGGCTGCTGGGAGACTGGATTCTTTCCTGGTCTTGAGCAATGCTCCAGGTTGTTGGCTGGGAGAATTCCCGAGGTGGCAGCATACATGAAGATTTATATTTATGAACAAGATTGTTTGCTTTATAGAAAGAAATTCTGCAGGATGTGTTGAGATGGACTGTACCCATAGACATCAATTATGTGATGTGACTAAAAAATTACACTTACAGAAAGGTTAACACGTGAAGTATCTATGAAGCAAGTCGTATTTTTCAAACCCTTTTAGTTCCATTTTCATCCACCAGGTGGAAACAGTATGGCCTGTATTGAAGACCTGTACAGTTTTTATACCATGTGTATCCCCAAAGTAAGGAGGGATGAAAGTATTTTACAATGATTGGCTTCTGTGCAGGGCAGAAATGAATACTAGCTGATAACTGGGAAAAAGGAGGATACTTGTTGCACTGATTGTTTTTTCTTCATTAAGTTATTTTAGCTCCTCTTGCCTACAGAGATGTTATGAGCTTTTGGGGGTGGGGTGGGGTGTTTTATTATTGTTGTCATTAATAATGTGAAGTTTATCTTCAGGAAACTTGCCATAAGTGGACCTGCTCTTCCAGAAACTGATATACTTGAATTCTTTGCCTGGATATCTGACAGATATTTATCTTGTTGGTTTAAAATATTAATTTGAAAATAATGGAAGGCACAGTGGGCACTGATAAGCTGTTAACAGATAAGGAAATAATGCTTTGGTATCTGGGATAGTTTTAATATCTATCCACACATTTTTTGACATGCTTCTCTCTAAAAGGTGGAACTTAACCATTGTCACCCCAATAAATTGAATAAAAAGGAAAAAACAAACTGATATTTCAAACAAAAGTAAATAAATAAATGAAAATAAAAGGTGGCCCTTCCTTGCCCTCCCTTTGAGTATGGGCTGAATTTAGTGACACCCTTCCAACAAATACAGAGGTGAAACTGTGTCACCTGTGGTAATAAGAGGCGCTGCTGCCTCCTTTCTCTGCCTGGGGTCACTCAGGGAAAGCCAGCTGCCATTTTGTGAGGGCGCTAGGGCCGCGCAGTGGAGGACCTGGGGGGGACGAGCTGCCATGCCAGGCGACTGGGCCATCTTGGACGCGGATCTCCCATCCCCTGTCTAACAGATGACTGATCCCTGCTGACGCCTTGAAGGCAACCTCATGAGAGACCCTGAGCAAGAAACACCCTGATAAGTCTCCCAAGTTTCTGATCCAAGAAACTGAGATAATAAATGTTTGTATTTAAGCCACTTTGTCTGGAGTAATTTGTTAACACAGCAACAGATAATGAATTTGCTCTCTTTGGAAAAAGTTGGGTGCCCAGGGTATTGCTTATTTGAAATTATGTAAAGTCAACGTAAACTACTATATTATATTTGTTCTCAGGGAAAACTGGGCCTGAAATGCTCTTACCTTGAGGTTTGAGTCCATGGTATCTCAAAATAGAACTAACCTCCCAAGGTACACCTAGTTAGCCTCAAATTTCACTTCCTAGGAATATTAGGGTCGATTTTCTGGAAGCCTGACTGGGGATTGTCCAAAATGAAACCAGAGAATTTGAGAACACTCTGACCTTGAGAATTCAGTGAGCTAAGCAACAGCTTGGTTTCCCCAGCCACTTCCCTTCTGCCTTAGCGTTGGGTGACTGACAGCTGGCTGTCAGGATGGACTGTCAACACTGCACATGCTACCAGACTCTCAGATGTGCATGATGCTGTGGAGAGAGTTGGGGGCTTTTTAAAACCCAGAGTTGATCTGTCTTGCTAGCCATGGCTGAAACAGGGCAAAAGTACATGGCCTGCACTTTCAAAGTGGCAAATGTAGTCCATCCAATATCCAGGCACCTCGTACATGAATCCCATGTGTGTGCTCAGGATGCCGGTTCTAGTTGTGCCAGAGTCAGCCCTGCAGTTCCTGTCTAAACTGTGCTTGTGCTTAGGTTGGGAATGGGAGGTTGGGGGAGAGGAACTCCACAAGAATTGCCAGCTCTTGCAAAAAGAAACACTGGAAATAGAGGGGAGGGCAGGGAAGGGACTGGGATTCGGGTGGTCTGGGTTTAGTCCCAGCCCTGATGGTGCCTAAGGCTGAGGCCGACTCCATCTCTCTGACCCCAGGGTTTTCATCTAAAATGACAGGTTTGGTGCTCAGTCTCAAAGGAGGCCACAGGTCTGCCTCCCAAGCCCCTAAGGGGCTTTTTCAAACAAAATGTTCCCACTTTGCTCCTTTTGGTTAATGATCACAGCCTCAGGGAGCCCCTACCACTGAGGGAAGCATGGGACAGCCCTCTATCTGGTTGTTGTCTCTTTTTTAAAATGAATAAATTACAAGACCTCAGACAGCTG